CCCCCTGCTCAAAGCAGGACCAACCCCATCTAAATCATCCCAGCCAGGCTTTGTCATGTATACATGCAGTATTCTGTATGCAGTTCACTGTAGTAGCCATGTTCCATTCTATATATAGATTAAAAAACACCAACCCACATCTGGATTTTACATTTATTAACATCTGTAATTATTCAATGATTTTAAGAGGTTTAGCCACACTATTCTCATTACAAGCAATGAGAGCTACCTGGCTAACCTCTCACATAACACTTTGATTTATCATGCATTAGTAAAAATCTAATGCCATTGCAATGGAAAATCATTCATAGTATTCTGTAGAAAACTGTTATCCAGACCTAGTGATTCCTCTCCCAAATATGGTATAGTTTTAGGACTAATCATGCAAGATACCAAGTACCCTAAGCTACCAGGGTGAAATCCTGACCCTAATGAAGTCAATGGCAAAACTCCCATTGACTTCAATAAGTCCAAGATTTCACTCCCATTGCCTTTTGAATTGGGAGCATTTAGCTGCTCAGTATAAGTCTGTATGTCTATTTTGCTGTCAGCTGCTACACACGTCTCTTTTAGCACCAATGCTGTCCAGGTTTGCCCTCCCACTGAGTACGTTTTAGATTATTTTCTCTACCTAGACTTGCATACATTTTCCCAATTGAACTCTCATTTTATTCCTTTCTGTCCATATTTCTAATTTCTCTATTTATCTGTGTTATTTCTCTGCTCTCTCTGGAGTTCATACCTCCTAATTCACTATCCTCTGCAAATTTTAATAATGTGCTACTTTTTATCCCTCTTCTGGATAATTAAACTTCAGTAAGTTAGGACAGAATACTAGAAACTATTGTAATGAACAGTCCCAGTCTAGCAGAGAGATGGAGTAGATGGTCTAACAGGATTTTTCACTCTCTAACATTGATGATTCTATAGGACTAGCCCTTGTAGAATGTGCAATAACCACCACATATGCTCAAAAATTCTTCCTTTGTTCTCATTCAAGTAACTTGTAAAATGTAACAGAGTGATGCATATTCATCTTTGAAATATTTCTGTTTAAGTAAAAATAACTCATGCATAGATTTGGTCAGAAAATAGGGTTCCCCTGATGAAAGATTTAAGCTTTTCTTAGAAAAATTGAAAACCTTTGACACAGAAATTTTCAATCAAAATGAAACATTTTGACATTTCTGCATCAATTTTTGTTTTGTTTTGTTTGTGGACCCAAATAGAAACATTTTGTTTCAGTTTGGTTTGACGTTAGACTGTATTGTAAGGCAAACTACGTCTCCCATGATGCTCCAGAATGTCCCCTCTTGCTGAACTACTGGGGTGCATCAAGGGTGATGAAGTCTGGCTGGGGAGCCCTGCCTGTAGGGGAGAATATGGGCATGAGGCACCTGAACTACAACTCCCATGAGAGACTGAACTTCCAAATCTAAATTTTCAGATTTTGGTCAAAGAATTTTTGTTTGTTTGTTTGTTTTTAATGAAAAGTCAATATTTTCCACAGAACATAGATACTTCTCATGAAAAAATTTAATTCAGTCAAAAATCCAATTTTCCATGAAAATATAGTTTCAATGGAAAATTTTCAACTAGCCATATTTATGCAAAAGTATCAATTTCACTTTTGTCTTGTGTTTAAAGTACTATAAAGGTGCCCAGTGCTACCATGGTAGGTACTAAGGACCATTAAAAGTGTATGGAAAACTCCCCTCTAGGGTGCGTTTCACAGGATTGTCCCAGTTTTGAGCAAGCTAGGTTTTCACTGTATTTACACTGAGTTTTGATGTTACACTTAGAAGATGTTGCAACATCATAATTTGTCCCAAAGGACAAACTTGTAAAACTGTCAACTCAAAGTAGAATTCAGTATATTTTGCTACAAGTTCTGGCAGTATACTTTTTTCCTCTCTCTCTCTCTCTCACACACACACACACACTCACTCTCTTTTGGCATGTCAGAGTCATGCTCTTAAACCGAACTATGTACAAAATCTGACCAAAATTAGATATTTTTGCTTGATCCTGGGTAAATCAGTTTGATGTGGTCCAAATTTCTGAATCTTTAGCTGTCATGCAAGTCAGATTTACCTGATGGAAAGGTATGTCAAACAGTGATGACAAAGTTGGGATAAGATTAAAGCTGTAATCTTCACACCCTTTCAATGTTGACTACATTCTTGTCATTGGCAACTTTGAAGGTGTAGTTAGTATATAGTGTTCACTGAACTTGAAAACTGTTCTCCATGGCCATATACCTTTGCATTAGCATTAAGAAATTAAAGACAATGGGCCAAATTCAGCCCTGAAATAGTAGTGTCCTTATTGACTTCACTCATGTTGGGTCTGAATTGAGCCTAACAGATTCAGTACTGATGCAAAAAAAGGATTCTGCATAAATTGTCACTATGTACAGCATCTAGAACATGATAGATGCTAGTCAGCTTTTTAAGGCATCATTGCAAGGTTTGAGATACCACAGTAACGGGAATAAGAACCTGTATAGAATATAACGTCACAGCACATTTTGGTGGTGCTAGTGTAATATAAATAAATAATAGAATTACATAGAATCAGTGAAATGCAGGGCTAGAAGGGACTTTGAGAGGTCCAGCTGAGGGAGGTCCATACCCAATCACCTAAAGTTTAAAAGGATTAATGGAGCAGGACCCATGGAAAGGGCTACTGTGACATACAAAGTAGATAAGAGCTTATCAGAATATTTTCACAACATTCTTCCTCTGATGAATGGAAACATTTTCAGATCTCCTCTGAGGATTATTGAATTAAGTTGTAGGAGAAACCTTCCCCAGAAAATAAAACGGTGCACTTAAATAGGCTGCTCTTGTCTTTATGTTTAATTTTTTCTTTTTTGGAGGATCATTTTCATTTAGGAGTTGGCATACACATCTCTGTGGACAGAAGACATAAGACAAAACTATAAACAAAAACATTTTAGCACGAAAAGCAAGCCCTGTTCCCTCCACACCCATTTTACCTGAGCTTGTTTGCAACTCTTCTAGAAAGGTCTGAATAGTTCAAGAGGCCAAGCCTTTGAGGAAAAACTGCAGCAGATTTCTTTAGAGAGAGAAGATAGATAAGACCATATTCTGCTCACCATTACATCAGTGGGATTCCACCAGTGTAACAGAACATAATTTGGCCAAAAGAATACTTTTATTATATATGCAATAAGAGATTACTCTTGTAATATGTGTGTGACTTCAGTGGGAGTTTTGTCTGGCTAAGAAATAAAGGACTGGGTTCTAATAATCATCCTATAGTTACCTGAGAAGAGTAAAAGCAATGCACCTCCAGGGATCAGCAGTTACTTACCAGAACATTCAAATCCACTACCTCTGTAGCCCTGTTTACATTTGCACTTGAAGGATCCCTGAGTATTGAGGCACCCTGCATGGACGTTACACTTGTGTATACTTGCAGCACATTCATTTATATCTAGAAAAGGGATACTTCAGTGAAAATTTCAGTCAGTCATCTGTTTTCAGACAATTTAAGCACCAGCATCAGAACAAGAATGTCCTGAAACCACCACTAACAGAAGAATCCGCTCTGGGTATGGACTCTTGCTTCTTTCTCAAGACCACAACTTTTGGCCTCCGTTTCTGAGCATGACTTTTAGTACAATAATTGTAGGGCCTGCTCCTGGTCCTAGTGAAGTCAATGGAGGTTTTGCTTATGCCTTCAGTGAGAGCAGGATTGGGCCCTGAGATTGTAAATGTTGCTCTCCTAACAAAATACAAAGGGCCCATGAGAATAAGCATGACTGTGATGAAATGCAGTCATTTTGGCCCTAGTTCTGCCCTCCTTGCATGGAATAGCACCTCACTCCAAGAACAATCCATTGCAAGTAAGGGTGGCAGAACTGTGCCTGTAGATTGTAAGATCCCTAGGGCAGGGGGTTCTTGTATTTGTTTGAGAAGTGCCAGGCATTTACAGAATGCTGCTGGAAAATATAATTGAGCTATTCCGTAAGCCATTATGTTAAATTGACATCAGAACATTTTAAACAGTGGCAGTAACTGATTTAATTGTTTTGTTCCATTTGATTTTGCCACTGAATGGCACAAGAGCTTTTCTGGTTTCTCCCACATGAGGGAGCTAAGTTCTTACAAAGTTAAAGTTTTGCACCCATGATTCATACCAGGCAGGTCAAAGGTACAGATGCAAAGCATGGCTCAGCGTGGACAAACATGTAACAGAGAGAACTCTGCATCAAACGGCTGATGTATTTGTCAATAAGATTCAGACCTGCAAGCTTTAGGCCAGGTCTCACCATTTTGTCTATGCACATACATACATAAGGAGGTGGGGGGAAGGATATCCTTTTCAGTTTTAAGTCTCCTGGGATTTGAGTACAACAGGAAACCAAGACTCCACTCCGAAATCTGCCTTAAAAAACCTCTCAAAAAACAAGAGGACATTAGTTCTCTTTTGTATGTGCTCAGTGTAATTCCAATTCTCTCAGGCCCTTACGACTGTATCATTAGAGCAACATTTTTCAATGCCTGCCACATCAACTACAAATTTGGTCTTCTTACGCAATATGTGAGGCCTCTAGTTAATGGACTGCAGCAGGGGACTAGGGAGGTTTGACATTTGTTTTTGCATCTGTGTATGTTAAGATGACTTAAGAGTATTTTCATCTGTATTTGTCTCTGCATCTGAAAGATCAGAGATGTAACACAGTTCTTCAGAGTAATTAAAACCTGCTTTTTCCAGCCAGTTATTTTTTCTTATTTGAGCTGGACAACCAAACATCTCTTTCCATTGCGTTACAACTTAATGAAAGCATCGGAAGCTGCACCTCACTATGCTGATCAGAGCCAAAAAATTAATTTACCCCTTTTGGTTTTAATCCAAACAAGCGAGCTTTCAATTAGCAGCCTTAAATCAAAACTGAGCACTCCCTTGTAATCCATTGTTCCCTTGTTGCAGACTTGATTACAAATAACTGTACATCTTGTGTGAAATCTCCTAGAGAGGTCTTGGCAAGAGAAGGCAATATAAATTGCAGTTGCCATTGTAAATTTTCATTGATATCATTATATATAGTTTTTCAGTCATCAGGCTGCAGAGATTAGTCAGTGTCCCAAGGAGGGTTCTAAATGATATTTTACATCTGGTTCTGAGCTGCACTCTCAAGCAGAAGCCAATATTCATGCTTAAAACAAAATCCACTGATCACCATGCAATAACATGAAAGATATACATTGAGGAAAGGGAAGAGACAAACCAACCTTGTGCCTAAATCTTACCTACACAGTCATAATGGCCTCTGACATATTTCAGTTCATAACCAATCTGACACTTGCAATAGTAGCTTCCAAATGTGTTGACACATCTGCGGTTATAAGAGCAAATAGCTTTGCCAGTGGAGCACTCGTCAATATCTAGGGCAAGGAAAATGGAAATTCGTAAGATCAAGCAGAAACAAATGCAGTGCTAGTTGTCACTTGCAAGGTGTGCTTTGGTCACAGCTGTCACTGGAACCACACGTTTCAAAATGTCCATGTTATAAAACATGTCCTGTGACTTTTATATTTGGGGATTGTTTTGCATATGATTGCGTGGTATGATGGTAACAGTAAAGCCAAGTTCACTGAAAACCTTGAGAGCTGCCAAATTAAAAATTCGGTTGTGTGAAAGGCTGGGAGATAGCAGGAACCATTAAAGGTAATGGTTTGTCATATGGTCATGGAATATGCGTTGGGGAGGGAAGTACTTCAGATTGTGATTTCTCTTCTGGTGCGGGGCAGTTGGGAAGAAACAGCAGAGGACTCTTAAGATAAGGCCTTTTGCAGAGGTGGGAAAGCATCAGTGAAGAAAAAAAACAGCAGTTTTCTCTCCTGATTTCCTGCACTGCTGCTTGCAGGGGTAAATCCTTTGGCTCTGACAGAAAAGTATGAAATTATGAGTAGAACTCAGGCTGGAAGTCGTGAGTCCCGGGGGGTAGCAGACAGCTGTCAGGGGCATGCGACCACCCTGCCCTTCCCAATAAATGGGAAAGGGGCCCTGATATGGAAAATGCCTGAGAACCACTGTTTGAAAGATTCTTCAGTGATCTGGAGTGGCTATATGTTAAATTGGTTTTAATTTTTTTTCTTATTGCAAAATGAAGTAACATTTTCATTAAAATAATGCAACTGGTGACATATGGCATTTAAAAATTGATGGTATTTGCCTTCCCTTTCCCTCCCACAACCCCACATGACCAAACTGTGACATTAGATAGAATTTGCCATGACAAACCACTATCCTTAACTACAGTAACTCCTCGCTTAACGTTGTAGTTATGTTCCTGAAAAATGCAACTTTAAGCAAAACAATGATAAGTGAATCCAATTTCCCCATAAGAATTAATGTAAATGGGGGAGTTAGGTTCCAGGGAATTTTTTTTCACCAGACAAAAGATTATTTTTTTATTATATATATATATATATATATATATATATATATATATACACACACAACAAC